AAGCTGAGGTGTGTTTCTTGTATGCAGTAGAAGGATAGATCATCATGTTTTTGTATGCATTCTGTTACCTGCTGTTTTTTGTCTTTCTTTGGGGTAGCTGAGTCCATTGGTATTGAGAGATATTAATGATCAATGTTTGTGAATTTCTGTTATTTTGTTGTTGCTGTTGATAATTGTGGTGTGTGTGTGTGTGTGTGTGTGTGTGTGTGTGTGTGTATGTGTGTGTGTGTTTCCCTTCTTGGGCTTTGCTGATTTGACACTATCTATTTACTCTGTTTTCTTTTTTTGACATTTCATGAAGGCATATAATATAATCAGGTCATTTGTGCGCTATTAATCTATTTTTGTAGAATTAAATTTATTTATTTATATATTAAAAATTTCCACTTCCTCGCCTCCTTCCAATTCCCCTCCACTCTCTCCACTCCACCCTCCCTCCCTCTCCAGTCCTAAGAGAAGTCAGGGTGCTCTGCCCTGTGGGAAGTCCAAGGCCCTCCCCGCTCCATCCAGGTCTAGGAAGGTGTGCATCCAAGCACACTAGGCTCTCAAAAAGCCAGTACATGCAATAGAATCAAAATCCAGTGCCATTATCATTGGCTTCTCAGTCAATTCTCATTGTCAGCCACATTCTGAGAGTCTGGTTTGATCACAAGCTTGTTCAGCTCCAGTTCAGCTGGCCTTGGTGTGCTCTCCTTAGATCAGTCCCACCGTCTCCATGGGTGGACACACTTACTGTGTTTTCATAGGTGTAATTAATCTCCTTGGATTGGAGTTTTTCTTCTTGTACTTTTTGTTGAGCTGGATTTGTGGATAGATATTAATTAAATTTTCTTCATCATGAACTATCTTGTTTTCTCCATCTATGGTGATTGAAAAAATTTTTAAGGTATGGTAGTCTGGACCAATATCCGTGGTCTCTTAGTGTCTGAAAGGCATCTGTCCCAGTCTCTGTGCTTTTAAAGTCCCCATTGAGAAGCCAGGTATAATTCAAACATATATGTCTTTATATGTAACTTGGCTTTTGTCATTTGCAGCTTTTTAGCAGTCTTTCTTTTTTTCTGAATGCTTAGTGTGGTGGTTATTATAAGCTGTTGTGATTTTTTTTTCAGGTCCAATCTATTTGGTGTTCTACAAGTTTCTTTTTCCTTCACAGGCATGCCATTCTTCAGGTTATGAAAATTTTCTCCTATGACTTTGTTGAATATCTTCTGGTTCTTTGAGCTGATATCTTTTCCTTCTCTTATTTTTTCTTAAATTTCATCTTTTCATAGTGTATTATACTTCCTTGATATTTTGTGTTAGGATTTTTTTTAGATTTAACTGGCGGCGGAATCTATTTCCTCTATCTTATCTTCAGTGCCCGAGTTTCTTTCTTCCGTCTCTTGTATTCCATTGGTGATGCTGGTGCTGGAGTTGCTCTTCACTTACTCAGATTTTCCATTTCCAGAATTCCCTTCATTTGTGTTTTCTGTATTGTTTTTGTTCCATTTTCAGGTCTTGATCAGTTTCCTTCACCTGTCCTCCCAACCCCCTTGACTTTCTTCACATTCTTTAAGGAACTTATTGATCTCCTCCAATTCTTTGTCTGTCTTTTCCTGAGTTTCTTTAAGGGACTTTTTTATTTCCTCATTTAGGATCTCTGTCTTCATTATAAAGTCATTTCTAAGGTTGTTGCCTTGTACATCAGCAGCACTAGAATGTTCAGCTCTTGCTGTTTTAGGATAACTGGGCTTTGATGATTCCATATTGCCCATTCTGTTGTTGATTGTATTCTTATACTGTCATTTAGGCACCTTGGTTTGTGATCATTATAGGACTAGGTGTTAATTTCTGAGTTTGTGGCATGATATTTTTTTCTTTTTTCTCTCTGGTCTTCTGGCTTAAGTGGGCAGGGGTTCTGGTGACTTGGGAGTTTTCAGGTCTGATAGGATGTCTCCAGTAGGGTTTTTGCAACCTTCAAGACCTCTAGGATTTTGGTTGTCAACCTTGCCTCTGTGGTTCCAGGCACTTGTGCAACGTCTAGGGTTCTAGGTCCTGCTTGGCTTCTGGGATTCCTATTTCAGTGTGGACTCCAACAAAGCAGATGTTTTATGCCTAAGTTGTGGGCTGGGATATGGATCTCAGGAGAGGGGGTACAGGTAGGAGTGGTTGGGTTAGCTTTAGGGAGTATTAACCAACAGTAAGCAGTATCTTACCCTGGGTCCCTAGAACCTGCCTGACTTCAGGTAAAGCAGAACCTTCTTCTGAAATTGTGGACTGATATAAAAAGCCCAGGAGTAGGGTGAAGTCTGGAACTGTTTGGTGTGCTTTAAGGAGTATTGGCAGTGTTCATAGTATGTGTTTTACCTAGGTTGTCTAGGACCAGCCTGGTCTCTAATAAAGTAGCTGGTGTTTTGGGCCAGAATATGAAGCCCAGAGGAGGGGGATCTACACTTTCAATTTTTAAAGTTTGCATTTGTAATGCTCTTAGTTCACTTGTTTCTTTCATAAATGGCCTTCAAATTTCCCAGGAAAACATCTCCCTCTCCTAATAGAACAAATTTGCTTTCACACTTGTTACGCTAATCTTTTTTCTGTGTTTCAATCTGTCTCTCAAGTTTCCTTTATATTACCTTTTTTTTTGTAAATTTAACCTCTTTGTGAAGTTATGTTTTCATTATTTTTCTTTGATATTTTGTTCTCAAAAACACTTCAGTCTAATTTTTTCTAGCTAGTGCAGTCAGATCTGAAGGACAAAGGAGAATGAAACGGTGTAAATTTGAATGGGTTGCGCAAACAGGACATAGACAGAGATGCTTCCTGCTTCTAGATTTTTGGCAGCTTGTTTAGGTTTTTAAAATACAGCTTATTTTAATAATTAACGTGTAAATTACTTACTTGGTTTTTCTAAGATGGTTATTATTTGTATACATGCAAACAAACATACTTGTTATTAATCTTGATTTCAGTTTTTCTAATGATCTTTGTACTAATTTCTCTTTTTAAAATTTTATGTACATTGATGCTTTGCCATGGTGTGGGTATTAGGTTTCCCAGAACTGGAATTATAGAGAGTTGTGAGCTGCCATGGGGGTACTGGGAACTGAAACTGGGTTCTCTAGAAGAGCAATAAGCGCTCTTAACCTCTGAGTTATCTCTTCAGCCCCCCAATGGTATCTCTTATAATTATATTTTCAGCCTCTCAGTTAAAATGATCAGCTTAAATATTTTGTAATAAATTCACCTGGGATATCAACTAGTATATATGTCTCTGTACAAAATACTCATTTTTATCCTATTTTTTTTTTTTGGTGTGGTTTTTTTTTTTTTGTTGTTGTTGTTTTTTGAGGCAGGGTTTCTCTGTAACTTTGGAGCCTGTCCTGGAACTAGCTTTTGCAAACCAGGCTGGCCTCAAACTCACAGAGATCTGTCTATATCTGCCCCCCAAGTGCTGGAATTAAAGGCGTGTGCTACCACTACCTGACTTTTCCCCCCTAATTTTCTACATGAATTTTTCCCCTTGAAATGGTAGGACTGTCAAAGTGAATATCACCAGGTCCATGATAGTCTGGGAGAAGAAATAAGTGTTGAGCACTGTCATGTGATTTTTGGTGATATTCTATGTTTAAGTCCGTTCTTTTCTAGCCCTTTTAGCTTGGCCTAGTGTTAAAGCATGCCTAGCCATTGCTAAGTTTAAGGGCCAGGTTTTCTTTTGTCTCTTTGTAGACTCTTTACCTGTGCTCCTTATGTTGCCATTGGTAGATTACAGTCAAATAGATCTTATTAATGGCTGACCAAAGAGTTTTCTTAGTATTGGGGAAAAAGAAACTTTGTCTTCTTTCTAATCATACTATTTCTTGAATTTCTCTTTTTGTTGTTGCTGTTATCTATCGCTGGGTTAGAAGAAAACAAATAAGAAATCAAATGCTCCAATACAATTTTATTTTAAATTACTGTGTAACATTGTATTTATTAAGCATATATTACTTGGAAGGTGCTGTACTAAGTGAACAACCACAACAACAAACCAAAAAATCAAAAAGGATTGCTAATAGTCTGAATGATGTTCTGGACTGAAGAAATTCTTATCTAAACCACAGACCAGACCACGAAAGGAATGAGCAAAATGATACAAAGCCCTGAGACTGTTGAGAATGTTCTTGCTATTGGATAGATCCAAAGGAGGAATGAATGATTAATGCCCTGACGTAGTGTGTCCTGGAAACTTCTGCATCCTGGAGGCTCCAGACGAGGATTAAATATGCATATTTCAAGCAGCAGAGAATTGGCTCAGAGCCTAATGAGGCTGAAGGAGATTTTATGACAATTCCAATGTGGGTTTTCTTATAAACTAGAAAGGAGCAAGATCAGTATTAACCCTCATGTTTACTTATCTAAAGGGGAATATGAATCATCATTGTTTTCTATCAATTTGATATGCTTGTCAATTTAGTTGTTGACTTGTAGGCTTGCTCACTGGGAAGCAGGATGGGAAGACAGAAAACTGAATAAGATATGAGAAGGGAAAGGAGTTAAAGAGTCTGATTGATGTCTCTTTCAAGTCAAGAGTCAAGAATTCTCCTATAATTAACAAGACTTACTATGAAGGTGGCTGGCAGAGAAACAATATTCCTTTTGTACAAAGAGATTTTGAATAATGTTAAAGTAGCAGTGAATCATGTAGAATAATTTTCTATAAGGTGTAATCCAATAATTTTATAGGAATCTCATAAGAAACTAAACCATAAAAGGGAATCCTTGACCCCTGTGTAACACTTATGACCCATGTTTCTTTTCTTCTAGATTACTATATTTTCCAAGGTACCTTTTGAGCCACTGCATAATCTCATTTATCAGAGAGAAAGGAAGAGAGGGAGAGAGAGAGAATAAAAATGAACACAACTATTTTTTTAAGTAACCCTTCAAGATGTAACTTGAGAACCATTACAATGTTGCATATGACTACCACTATGATATATAATCATGGCTTTCTCTCTCTCTTTCCAACCCTATTATTTAACCAGGGGAGAGTTTGAGCACAGTCACCCACTACCACAAATTATTCAGTTGAGTTTCCACATTTTGGGAAATTGCAGGGGTCAACACATCTGGAGTGCAATGGGTAAGCCTCCCTCTGGGAAAACCACCTCCATGATCATGGTATCTCCCCTGCCAGGTTAAGTATTGGCTTTCTATTGAGAAGCCCACATGTACCACCACTTTATAAGTCTTATTTCTTTTCCTGAGTGTTTCTCTCTCTATTAACTCCTATGCTTGCCTCTGTTAATTTTTTTCTAATCAACTTCACCTCTGCTTCAAATTGATTTGTTCAGAAATTCTTCTCTGTGGTCTAATCAAGAATCCTCTCTTCACCTGTGTTAAGGTCTCAGAAGAGAGGCTGCAGAACATAGCAGGATGGGGGTATGCCTGCAGTCCCCACCCTACAGTCATGACTCTCTCCCTCTGTATTCCCACATCATCATCATTATCATCAACATCTTAACCCAAAAAGTAAACAAACACCAATAACATTGCTTAAATTTATCCAGGGCACAATGTTGAAGATGCTTCAATATTTCTTTAAGTCATTGACTTGGAAGCATTCCACAAAGTGGGTCTGTGGTTGTAAAAAGAGCAGTGGGCTGCATTTCTGCTGCCTGCCCGGCTAGCTTTACCCAAAATAATTACACGGAAACTGTATTCTTTTAAACACTGCTTGGCCCATTAGTTTCAGCCTCTTATTGGCTAACTCTCACATCTTGATTAACCCATTTCTAATAATCTGTGTAGCACCACGAGGTGGTGGCTTACTGGGAGGATTCTAACCGGCATCTGTCTCGGAGAGGAGAGTCATGGCGACTGCCTGCCTCTGCTTTCTTTCTCCCACAATTCTGTTCTGTCTACTCCACCCATCTAAGGGCTGGCCTATCAAAAAGGCCAAGACAGTCTCTTTATTAACCAATGAAAGTAACAATAGACAGATAACCTTCCTCCATCATGTGGTACCAGAGCAAAAATAAAGGCAAGAAAGTCAACAAACCCAACAACACCTGAATGGCCAAGATAGTTAGTTACCTTAGAAACCCAGTTTAAGAAGCAAGGACTATACAACTCCACAGGGCAATAGACCTTTACTCTGGCTACTTTCTGCAATAGATAACTAGCTATTCCCAAATTGCTTCTTTCTGTTCAGCAAAGTGTTCAACAGTCTTACATGCCTAGAAACTTCTGTTAACTGTGCTACCTAATTCTGTCTCTCTCTCCATACCCTGTCATCAATGCGGCTCTCTCGAGGATGGCCCCTAGTTATCTTTTTAGCTATGGTGGCATCAGATATCCCTTTCTTTATTGTACCATCAGGAAAAGATGAAAACTTCAGGCTTGGGGAGTCATTTTATTAGAACCTGAAAATTTTAATTTCTGTTTTAATTGGGATGGAATTTGTAGATCCATTTGCCTGGATGCTCCTATTTCTCAGGTAAATTTGCACTGATTTTAAGGAATCATGTCAATTGCTTCTGGCCAGCAATAAAAGTGGAGTCTGTCTTTATTTATTTTTTAAGGGTTTACTGATTTTTACCATCTTCAACAAACTCTTTTGGTTTTTCTGAGGTAAAGCATACTTTTATTTGTTTTTCGAGATGGAGTTTCTCTGAGTAGCACTAGCTATCCTTGAACTCACACTGTAGACCAATCTTGCCTCAAACTTAGAGGTAAAGTATACTTTTAAGTCAGTGTGGAAACTGTCAACATTTTTCACTTCCTATTAACTGCCACTTTTTACCACTAGTAACAAAGCAACCTCCTAAAGCACAGGTTTAGGTACTAGACAGGTACTGAGAATGGTTGGCTTTACTCTTAATGGAATGTTTTAGTCTATGGAGTCCATTCTATTTGCCAAAATAGTATCATTTCATTTATTCCTCATGGCAAACTGCTGAGGTAGATCCTATCTTTAGTTCTGTGTCATCTGCTCAAGACACCAAGTCTTACAGAGGCTCAAGAGCTCCTCAAAGGTCACTGGGCTAGGAGGTAAGGGTGTGAATGCAGACAGCAAGGCTCTGCGGCTAGGGTTTCAAACTACTACATTTTTATATTCTACCACTTCACCTTTTTAGGTGCTTGGCAAATTCATCAAATCCCAGCATTCACACATGATTATTAAGCGTAGAAGCTGTGTTAACATTAACCCGGCTATGAACCTCTTCACAGGTGGGCAATTCTGAAGCACATTTTGGAGGAATAATTGCTTCCATGACTGATCTGTGTTTTGCTCGCTAGTCCTTCATTTTTCCTTATCACCCAGATCCAAATGATTAACTTGAAGTCAAAAGTCCTTCCTTGAAGCTTGTCCTCAATCTCTGGGCTGGCTCAGATTCAAAGCTCCCCAAGGCCGCCTACAGCTAACAGATGGCTATCTTCCTTCTGACTTGGCTGCACTGGGTCTGGCCACCATATTTAGGATTTTTGAAGCAAATGAAAAATATGTTTTTTCCCTCTTCTAAGTACCCAGAGACCCTGAAAAATTTTCTAGTTAACTTATAAGAAATGAGAAGAGAAAGAAAGAGAAAAAAAGAGAGAGAAGGGAGAGGATATTTTAAAGCACATCATTCCACGCAGTATATTTAAATCCTCCTGTGGAATTTTCCCACCAAACTGAAGAAGTGGTTATTTCAACATTATTTATTTCCTGTGGTCTAAAAGTATTTCAAAACAGAATAATAAATGATCAACATTTATATGTAATATTATTTCACATCCACTTGATGGGTTATGTTCTCAACTTATCAATGCATTTAGATTTTACAACTTAGTTCCTTAAAAGATTTTGTTACTATTTTATTTTATGTATATGGGTATTTTGCTTGTGTTTATTCTGTTACCACATGCATGCCCTGTGCTCGTGGTCACCAGAAGAGGGTACTGAGTTCTTAAGAGTTGTAATTCCATAAGGATTTTCTAGCTTGCAATGTGAGTACTGGTTGTTGAACCCATGTCCTCTGGAGAGCAGCCATGTGATTAACTGCTGAGGCACTTTACCAGACCAAACAGTTTCTAAAAGTATTCATACTTCACACATGTCCTGATGCATCTTAGACAAAAATTAAATAAAGAGATAGCTTTATATAGCACTCCCGAAAAGATTAGATTTTGTTATGTGTGACAGCAGTTCTTAGAAATGAAATTGAGGGCTGGGGTGATGAATCTGTCAGTATATTACTTGTTGTACTATCCTCGGTCCTAAATTAGAATCTGCAGAAAGCATGGAGGATGCTAGGTTTGACAGAACTTGCCTATAATTCCATAGCTGGAGAACCAGAGATAAATGGATTCCTGGGACTTGCTGGCCTGCCAGTGTAGCCAGTCAGTGAACTTACAGTTCAGTAGACACTCTGACTCAAAAAATGCAATTAAGATGTTAGTTGAGGAAGACACCTAACATTAATTTCTAGTCTCCACATTCACTTGCACACACATAAATGTCTAGTTGTATATACACACACACACACACACACACACACAAACACCGAAAGCAAAAGATAACGTTTATAATAGATGCGATTCTGTGGAAAATATTTGTTCTTGGCAGAGGGAACAATGAAGAAAGAACTAGGAAAAAATTGCAGTGATAATATAAAATTGTATGTGCTGTGCACCCTCAAAGCCTGGCTCCATATTAAGAGATTGCATGTATCACCCAGATGCTGCCTGCATCAGAATTTCACCTGAGCTCAGGGCCTTGAGCTCTGCATTTAAGGGAATATCTCTCATACAAGATTATAACATTATTCATAGAAACAAATATTTACTTAATTTGCCACACATTAGAGATTTGATAAGACTTCAAATACAACAAACTTCATAAAACCCATGAAATACTGGTTTTTAAGATTAACTCTTTGAAATCTAAACAACAAAGAGGACCCTAGGAGAGACTTGTATGAATCTAAACAGGAAAGTGAAAAAGACAAGATCTCCTGAGTAAATTGGGAGTGTGGGGGCCACAGGAGAGGGTATAAGCTGAGAGGGGAGGGAGGGGAGCAGAGAAAAATGTTTAATGAAATAATAACAACAAAGAAGAACATAAAAATTTACTCTTTGACACATTTGTTTCCTTTATCCTTATTCTGGGCATGGGGCTCTGATAATCTTTTGATTTGAAATTATGTAGTGAACGTGGGTACATGCCTAGAATGAGCCTTTTAGCAGAGTGTGTTATTTTGATATATTGGGTTTAAAAATAGATTGAGGGCTCCTCAAGGAACAGAGTGACTGTGTTATTGATTTTTCAGTGGCAAGAAGAGTAACTGACATTGAAAATCACTAAACATGTTTGTTGAGTAGAGGAATAATTAAGCAGTGGGTAGGGTTTCATTAAAAGATAATATGGTTTAGTGAAGAAATCACAACTTGGAATGCTGCTGAAAATGCTGCACAGGTCCCTTTCTTGTTCAAAGTGTTTGAGTGCAGAGGGAATTTTAATGGCATTACCTCCTTCATACTCAGCTCCTTCCACCCCCTCATCAGTCAGTACTTGGTGGTTAAGCCAGCCCCTGACCTGGATGTGCTATGCGGCTCTGTATTACTCTTTTATGGATGATGAGAATAAATAATGTGTACAAGGTTCTGGTCTTTCACAAGGTGATTTGGCTGAAAAAGTGCTGTAGAACGCTCTATTCTCATGACACCTATTCCAATCTCGGCACCAGAATGACCTCCTCGCATCAGCTGAGAGATCTTTTCAAATGACCATTTGCATGTGTTTTCACCAAACCCTCGCAGAATCGATTCCTGCGATGCACAAAATGAAGTAAAATAAAAGGAAAATGCATTTTGTAAGATGAAGCATTCTCTTTTTCCCCTTTAAATAAAATGAGCTGGGAAGAGGCAGAGAACTTTTATGATTCAGTAATGGCCAAGATATGATGCTCTTCAGCTCACAAATCAAAGAGCCCCAAGCTGCAAAAGCTTCAATTTTGAAGAGAACAGCTCAGGGCCAGGGAAATGTCATCCTTTTTATAGGTTCAACAAAATTCTTCTGTTTTTCATCTTGCAACACGGGCATTAGATCAGCTCTTCAAGTCCCTGGGATGCCTGGAATACTGACCTGTAGGCACTTTCTAAAACATAGGGTCAAGTGCGAATAAATGCTACAGAAAAAAAAAAAAAAGAAAATAACACAGA